CTCTTCCCGGGAGGAGAACGGACGTAGAGAGCGGTCTGTTCGCCAGTGTCTTCACGTTTATAGCGCAGCATATCTTTTGGTATCATATACTCATCCATCTTCATCTTCTTCCTGATGATGGGGTTAGTGTTTTCCAGACCTTTTAGAGAGTGTATTAGCACAGTTTATATTTCCTCTATTACGTTGAACATGTTAGAGAAAGGCACTGAAATTACGAGACAAAGAAAAAGAATCTTAATGAGTTCCGTATGATTTTGGTTCAGCAAATGGTGTTGGACTTAAAACAAAAGAGAGAAGAAACTGCAGGGGAGAGGAAAGGGGGAAGGGATATTGGCACGGCTCAATCAAATGAAATTACTCTGACAAAGACAGCCACCGAGAGATTTTATTTGATTCAACCGTACCAATATCTCTTGGACTCATTACTTACCTGTCGATATTTGAGATTGATGCTTGTCCTTTTTGTAAGATTCTGAAGCCAAAGATGTCGGACGAGGAGCAGAAAAAACATGTTTTTGGGTAATGGAGATTATGTTAGGGACTGGTTTCTCTGTGTTCATATCATATGTGTGTGTGAGTGTGTCTGTCTGTCTATATATATATATTGTGCAGGAAGAAATGAAATCGGAATGGTTGATATGTCAAGATCTATGATGTGATGAGAAGGATGATTATATATGTATATGTATATAAAAGGTTTCCATTTGGACTTGGAATGGTTGGTGACGTATATAGCATGTACCCATCTGCTTAAATCTTCTTGCCATGCAACAGTGCATGATGATGGTAAGTTGATTTGAGCACATATGAGCGGATGATGATGATGATGATGATGATGAATTATTTGATGGGAGTTAAAAAGGGGGAGGGGTGGCAGTTGAAAAGGGGTCCCAAATCGTTGAGACATTCTGAAAGCAATCCATTAACTAATAATTCCCCGCTCTTCAAGTTATAAACTTTTGGTTTTGGATAAATCTTTTTTTTTTCTACCCATAAATTTGGGATGAAATTGACACGCGGAGAAACCCCTTTTGCGATCTTGGTCAAGACACCATTGCTGACTCCTTTGCTTACGCAAAGATGACATAATTGCTTAAATTTAAGAAAGAAAAAAAAATTTATAATTCAAATAGCTCAAAACCCAACCAAAACTTTCTGTCCAAATACATTTTTGTCTAAACTTTTATCTGAGTTAGAGAGAAAAAAAAAACCTCGTTATTTCCTGTTTATTTGGTCTCGGTCACCTTTCACTAGTTCAAAAGATCTGCTTTGTAAGATCACAATTTGTTTTGTATTGGTATTTCATCCTTTTGTTAGTATTAAATGTATTTTTAGCAAATCTTCACTAACAGACAAAAATTACCTAATTCTCCATCTCAAGATTTCCCAACAGAGATGGCATATTGTAGATGATTAATATATGTAAGAAGTTCCCCTTTTTTTATTTTCCTCATGGGAGAGAAGAAATCTTCGCCACTATCATCTGATAGAAAGAGATGAATTTTACAAAGAAACCAAAATGAGATCAAGACAACAGTTGAAAACAAAAACAAAAACAAGCTTGCCTGTTTTTTCATGTTCTGCAGCTACTTATTCCAATACGAAGAATCCTCAGATGAAACAACACAGCAAACCCGGAAAACAAGAAGCTTCTAAGTGAGGAAGTGCCCGAAACCAGAATAAAGAGCTTCTAGAAGCTTCTAGATAGTGATCCCCAGCGATTTTTTGAACTTCTCGACTTCTAGATAGGCTGTTGAGTAAGGAAGAAACTCGGAGAAATGATCCCTGCTAAGGTAGTTGATGGCAACAGCGAGTTTTGCAATCTCTAGGGTTTCTTCGTTGGTTAGCGTTCGGATGAATCTTGCAGGGTTCCCTCCCCATAGCTCACCAGAAGGGATTCTTCTTCCCGGTGGCAGGACAGAGCCTGCTTCCAGGATTGATCGGGTTTCGACCAAGGAACCTTCCATTAAGATGGAGTGTTGCCCGATGATGCACTCGGGTTCAATGGTGCACGATCTCAGGAGACTGTATGCACCCACTGTCACATACCTATCGATCAATGTCTCTGCCGGTAATCCTGAAAGTACATAAGGAACCCTAAAATCAGTTTTTTTTTTATCACATCATATGAAGATTTAGATATTATGAAACCAAAATCAGGACATGTTAATGATGCCATTGCTCTCCTCCTAAAGATATAAATAGAGAAAAGCTTGAATGAATCTCGAATTGGTGATACTGTGATGCTCTAAGTAAGTATGTACTTCTTGTTTATATTACCCACACGTGATTTCCATATCATCTTGTGCCCTGTGGTACTGACAGTGAGAAACATGATCCAATAATACTGCTTTATGCTTTAACAATAACCCATATACCTTTGTTGATAACAAGGAACCAGCATTATAAATTGACAAAATAAGCAATCCAAGATTCAAAATGGTTTTAGGAAGAAGCAAGGAAAAGGCTAACTCAGCTTCAATGCACCCTTAGAATATACATAGCCCAACTCACAAATTTTTAAGGTCACCGGTCAAGCGGACAGCTTTAAGTACAAGTTATAACACAGTTTTGCCTGAGAAGCTGATGATTGCTCTTTAAAATTGTTTTTTTCTTTTCTGATTGACATTTAACAATTAGTAAAACTTATCTCAGGGTCAAAACCTCCCAAAACCTAAACAGAAAGGCAGGTGTGCTTAAAATGCTCATGAAACCCTTACAGCTAAAGCAAGCTTAAGTATTCGGTCACCTGGAAGGTGGAAAATTATCACTAAAATATCTATTATCACGCTGCTGCAACTTCTTAGAGCTGCAAGCAACCTTACATTACACAAGATGGCCTTTGACTGCAATATCTGGCATACTCGACTACTCAACCCTTGAGGAACCTGAATATTCACAGAATAATTTCATTTTCAACAAGTTTTTTACTTATCTAGCACTAACCACCTGAATAATTTTGCTTTATATACATCCTGTTCAAACTACGCTCAACACGACTCAGAAGAGCAACAGTAGCTGAAGTGCACTCTGAACAACTAACACTCGAAATTCCGGAAACAAAAATCCTGTAGACTGATCAAACAACTATTTACACAGCCATCTGATTGCTCAATGCTTTTATTCTTCAGGAGATCGGTAAATTTCCCCCAAAATTTAGCTTCCGAAACATTTTCGATGGTCCAAATGGACAACGAAACAAACCCTAAAACCCAAATAACCACATTATCAATGTTCTAATTCACCTATCAAGGATAAATCCAAAATCTCAAAAGCCAGAAATCAAGCAGCTCAACCCAAAGCCATTAAAGCAACCAGATGGAACCACATAGAAACATAAAATGGGGAAAAAATGGAGATAACAAAAAACCTGTGGGAGATGACCAAGCGGCATGAACAACACAACGTTCCTGGACATTGGAGTTGAATCCGACGGTGATCTTGTTCAGATCCCCGCGCAAAACCGCGCCGTTCCAAACGGACGCGCCGTCCCAGACCGTCACCTGACCGGCCAACACGACGTTGGGAGCCACGTAAGCATCAACGGCAACCTTCGGCTGCCACTGTCCCAGTGGTATGATCTGTCTCTGGCCCCTGTAGTCCCATTTCACCCGATCCGGCGACGGATTCACCGGCGATTTCGGCTTCGGAACCTCCGTCGTAGCCACCGCCGACTCCGCCGCCGCCGCCAAGTTACGACGGATCAGATTCGAAAATACGGCCGAGGCGACGGTCCTCCTGGAAACGCGAGCTAGCGAAGTCGCCATTGCTATGGATTCTGTATTCTGCCAAGGAAGGATCTGTGAAGAGAGACGCTTTCCAGAGAGAGTCGTTGTAGGGGTCCTCCGTATGCTTGAAATGAACAGAAGGAATATTTGGGCTTTAAAATGGGCCTAAATTATTTGGGCCTGGCCCTCTAATACAGATGTTCGCTCATCTAATGGGCCTAGTGGGCTCAATTTGGTACTCTGTGTCCGAACAGTAAGCAGCCATGTTATGACCACCATGAAGAAATCTGTTTTCAAGTAACCGAGTTTAAGCAAAATACAAATTAATGTTTCATAAGAATCTTATTTAGACTAATGTTTAGTAAAATAAAAGTACATATATTTGGACCCACCTAAGAAAATTCATAATTAAAGAATAAAGTGAAGCACTAAATGTATTAGTGCCACTACTTTTTTTTTTTTTTTTAATATAAACTTTTGTAAAAAGAAGGATTATGACACTAACATGTTGAAACGTTAAAGATACAATTCCTACCTTTGCTTTATGTCTCGCAATTACCAAAAGGTTATTGTTTTAATAGATCATATAGAAAAAATAATAATTTTATTATATTGTCCATGCCCTTTTATTATTTCTTTTTTTTTTCAGAATCCACTATGAGCAACTCTATGTACGTATTATTATAATATATATATATTATGCGATTAAATATGGTGGATCCATTTGGTGTATTCATGTAAGTGTCCATATAGACAAATGCACGAGACATTAACACATCACATGTGACACATCTACGTGGTACCACAAGGGCCATGCCTTCTCATGCAGATGCCATAAAAACTCTACATATATTAACATTATTTTATATGCACAACATATGAAGATGGTTTAATAATTTATAAACATTCCAAATTGGTTTATACTAGATGATTTTTTTCCGCGATGAACTCTTTCCGTGGATGAAATTGATCCAACTTTACGCTCATTAATCGGGTATCTGATCTTTTTATAGTAAATTAGATTTAAAAAAGAAACGAACGCCCTGTTGATTTTCCTTTTACGGATTTTATCACTTGGAAGAAAAGAATCTTTTTTTACAAAACGAGACCACGTAGATAAGGAAAGCGGTAAAAACGACACAAAGTCTTGCTTCCTCCGACTTCGCATTTCCCAATAATTTCCTCCTTTTATATTCATTTTCTCGCATTTTCTCGTCAACCAAACAGACCCAGTTCAGTATCCACCAGAGCTTCTCGCTTTTTCTTCTGTGAACTCTCTCTTCCTCTCTCCAACCTTTTTTTTTTCTCCTTTAATCCTCAGTAAAAATCCAGAAAAGCAGACAAATCCTTTGTCTCATTGTCTTTATGTTCTTTCCAAAAACAAAAACCAGTGCAAGCAAAACAAAACCGCAGAATCATATCCTCATAAAGCTTTTACAGTAGTTTCTCTCGAATTTTCCCCAGAAAAATAAATCCGAACCCATTTATCTGAAATCGATGACAACCTCAAGAAACAGAGCTTTCTCTCGTCCATCGACATTTTCCCTCTCTTTCTCGCTCTTTCTCGCGTTCTCTTGCCTCCTGATACCGAGACACGTTGCTCAAGGAGCCCATCAATGGCAATCTCCGATCAAAACCGTCGTCGTTTTGGTGATGGAGAATCGATCCTTCGATCACATGCTGGGTTGGATGAAGAAATCGATAAACCCATCGATCAACGGAGTCACGGGTCGAGAATGCAACCCGGTTTCGACAAAAGATCCAAATAACACCCGGATCATATGCTTCACCAACGACGCGGAGTTCGTGGATCCGGATCCGGGTCACTCGTTCGAGGCCGTGGAGGAGCAGGTATTCGGGTCGGGCCGGATCCCGTCGATGATGGGTTTCGTGGAACAGGCTCTGTCCATGCCCGGCAACCTGTCGGAGACGGTGATGAAAGGGTTCCGACCGGAGGCCGTACCGGTTTACGCCGAACTGGTTAAGGAGTTCGCGGTTTTCGACCGATGGTTTTCTTCGATTCCCGGTCCGACCCAACCGAACCGGCTTTTCGTCTACTCCGCGACCTCCCATGGCTCCACAAGCCATGTCAAGAAGCTCCTCGCTCAAGGGTATTAATCTTTCTCGCCATTTTTATGCAAAATTTCAGATTTCTTTCCGATTTCCGGTTAACGAATGCATCTGAAACGGATCTCAGGTATCCGCAGAAGACGATATTCGATTCGGTCCACGAGAACGGGATCGATTTCGGGATATATTTCCAGAACATACCCACGACATTGTTCTACAGAAACCTCAGAAAGCTGAAGTATATTTTCAAATTGCATCAGTACAACCTGAGATTCAAGAAAGACGCGGAGAAGGGTAAGCTACCGAGCTTAACCGTGATCGAACCGAGGTACTTCGATCTGAAGGGCATGCCCGGAAACGATGATCATCCGGCGCATGACGTGGCGAACGGACAGAAACTGGTGAAAGAAGTGTACGAGACATTGAGATCGAGCCCTCAATGGAACGAGACAGCGCTGATCATAACGTACGATGAGCATGGTGGATTCTACGACCATGTCCAGACGCCTTTCGAGGGTGTACCGAATCCGGATGGCAATACCGGACCGGCTCCCGGTTTTTTTAAATTCGACCGGTTAGGTGTTCGGGTTCCCACCATTGTGGTCTCCCCTTGGATCCAGAAAGGAACCGGTAAGAGATTTTCTCTTCTTTATTTATGCTTATTTCTTTTTTGTTTTTGCCATCGTTTATGCTTTTGTTTCATTATTTACATATTATTTTCTTATATATATATATATATATATATATATATATATATATATATGTTGGTTGAGACATCAAAATTATATCAATCAGATCATTCATTCGGTTTAAAATTGTATAGAGTTTGTTAAAAAATTATATTTAGAATATGAAATTTTTATTTTTCCAAAATTCAATCTTATTCGATTTATATTTTATATTTTAAAATATTATTTTTACATCTAATTTGTTACTGTGTTAGACTAAACTAACACAAAAACAAATTATTTATTAAAAATATTAATTTTAAAAAACATTTCGAAACAAAAATTATAATATGTGGATTGTTTTTATGTACACTACGTGTGGGGACTCCGTGTGTTGTGTTCCACCGACTTTTTGACTCTGTTTGGATATCTGATCTGAGGGGGGCCAAAAATCAAAATCATTTAGAAATTGACAATTATTTTATTATTATCAATTGGAAGGAATTGAAAAATGTAATTCCACATTTTCAAAGACATCAATAATTAAATTCATTTATCATATACATCTTATTATTCTACAGTAACCACATACGGACAAAGATCCATGTAGTGGTGGGGGGGAAAAAGTATTAAATATCATTAGTTGTTCTAATAAGTCTGTGTTCTGTAATACTCTTACAATTTTAATTCTTCACAATATTAAATTGTTCGCTGTTATTTACTATTTATAGATTGTAGCAAAGGCGTTGCAATGTGTATGAATCTCTTATTCTTTGAAATATGAAAAATATGTGTGCGTATGCAATGCATATGTTTATATTTGCATGTTCACTGATTTTTTTTTTTTTGAATTTTTGTGTGCGGGGGGAAGTGGTGAGTGGACCAAATGGGCCGACGGAGACGTCGGAGTATGAGCATTCGTCAATACCGGCGACCGTCAAGAAACTCTTCAACCTCTCCTCAAATTTCTTAACGCACAGAGATGCGTGGGCCGGCACTTTCGAACACATCTTCTCTCCCCTGTCCTCCCCTAGATCCGATTGCCCTCGTAATCTTCTTTTCTTCTTCATTTATCTAAAAAAGAATTCCGATATTTTGTGTAAGTTTTCAAATGTTATTGTGGTTAATTACAGTGACCCTGCCCGAGGTTTCGCCGATGAGAAGTACGGAAGCCAAAGAGGAGGCGGCTCTGTCGGAGTTTCAGGGGGAAGTGGTCCAACTGGCGGCTGTCCTGAACGGAGACCATTTCCTCAGCAGCTTTCCAGACGAGGTCGGGAAGAAGATGACTGTGAGAGAGGCGCACGAGTACATCAGAGGGGCCACTTCTCGGTTCATCAGAGCCAGCAAAGAGGCCATCAGCCTCGGGGCCGATGAATCCGCCATTGTCGATATGCGCTCCTCTCTTACAACTCGGTCTCGAACCAACCACTAACCTCTTCCCGGTGTTGTTGTTATTCTGTGTGTGTGAGGAACGGAGAAGCAAGGGAACTAGATGACAGCTTCTTCTTAGGTTGGTTAGTTAATGTTGTCAGCGTTGTGAATTTTGATTCTTCTTCTTCTTCTTCTTCTTCTTCCTGAACAAACACTGAGAATCCATGGATGTAACCATGAGAAAGTACTTTTATATGAGTGCGTTCTCTGTTCCACCTAAATTCCACATACATTTTACTCATATCAAACAGAAATGAAGTGCAGAGTAAAATCCGTTTTCGGACATGGATTACCCGAATCATAGGTATTCAAAATTTGGGAATCCGACCGCTCGCAACTATGAAATCGGTCATTTGTCGGTGAAAGGACCGATTTCCTTGGCCGGGGAGAGAAAAGGTAGGAAAGAGATAAAGGGATGACGAGGGTAAGAGAATGGTGGCTAGCGAGGCTGCGAAGGAGTCTCTCTCCTCTCCTCCACCCTGATTCCCTCTCATTCTCATCTCCTTTCTTCTTCAGTCTTGATCTCGCAGTCGGGTACCCGAGCCCTCCTCTCACTCCACGGATACCCGACCACCACAAGAATGAGACGGAACCCGAAGGGATGAAGCCGAGGATGATATCGAGAAAACTTGGATACCCGACCTGCACCCATCCACCCTACTTTGGACCAAGTCTGATTTGATTCGACATCATATAGTCCGATGCTTGTCCAAATCCGACAGGCCACATTGTGTTGTGTGTGTATATGTCAGTTGCTACTACTCTCATCTCAGAAACGGGAGGAAATTTTACACATGGTACTCGACATAAACGAACAACGAATTATAATCTCAACCTAAATTGATTCCACATCAGACAAAACTCACAGAGAACATGGGCTTTGCCAAGTCGAGATATCGGCGATCAGAGCTCGAATTTGATCTATTAGTGCTTTGACATGGACATTCTTGTTTGCAATCTCCTGCAATGCATCCATGGAAGATCATTACTTTAGGCACTCTAAAAAAAACCATTTGGCGATGGTCATTGGCACTGAAACCTCGAAAAAAGAAACAAACTCGGTGGCATTCTATAAAGCCATTGCACCAAGGGAAGGCAATATCACATAGGTAATCAGTAATATCTCGAAAACGAGTTGCCAGTGAATTCACCAATGTTCATCCTTGAGGTGTTTGAGTATGAAACATAATCTTGAAAAAAGAATAAGAAGCTGAAAATTGAGTAAACTATGGACAGAAGGCTATACCTTTCTCAGACTCGAGGCTCGCTCCTCCAACTTTTCGACCTCGTCGTCATCCATGGGAGATCCTGGACCATCTGCTGTTTCAGATGCTTTTGCCTATATTCCAATGGAGAAGGTTTAAGAGCCATGTCCATTAGGCTGATTAAACAACTATCAAGCACACAGACTCTGCAGATAAGCTAAGAGTATCAGCCTTTTGGATATTCAAAAACAGCCTTCTGAATTTTCAGGGTTTATGAAGGAATTTGTTTTTGAGTCCATTTACACTACGATTCGCACAAAGTTTTCTTCACATTGCAGGATGGAGATTTCTATGGATATTGCCAAACCATAGTCATGGTGGTCAAATTGTTCCACTGGCGTTGTATTCTAACCAACAAAAACCCTAAATTGCCAAAAAATTCTACCCGGAAGCAAATGTCAGAGCTAAAGCTTCTCTAAATTCTTAATGCCATAATCTTATTCAGAATACTGGAATTCGGTAAAGCGAATCGAACTGGCCAAACAGTACGAAGTTTAAGAGGATTGAATTAAGTTCATTACTTTTTGTGAAGTGGGAATCGCAGCAAGAACAGCACGAAGGGAAGCGACGGAGTCCTTGTAGCGAAGCCGAGCCTCGTCGAGCGAGCTGTTTCCGCTTCCTCCGCCGCCGCCGGAGTCTGTGTGATGGGAGGCTCCGTCCAACGCCGCGGTATCGGCTGAAACGGTGCCGTTGGTCGCCGCCGCCGCCTGATTGGAGGCGGATGTGGACCACAGGGTTGGATTGCAGAGCTCGTCGTTCATGGCGGAGATAATCTGGAAAGCTGCCTGTACAGTTTCTTCCAGAAGCTTCTCCCCTTCTAATGCAAGCTCCTGCGCCGTCGTCGTCTTTTTCGCGGTTGCGATAGGGCCCGCGAGCGATTTCTCCTCCATGAAGGTCGGAGTCTACGATTCAGATAGAGCGGTGTTCGTCGTCAACTCACCGAGGAAATTTTCTGAAGCTCCTTTTTCTCGGATGCCAAACAGAGGTTTTAGAGCCGATCCGAGATTAAAAGAAAAAAGTTCGATTTCTCAGCTTAACAAAGAACATAAATTTTCTGTTCTATATTATTCAATTAAGGGTGTCAAAGTAGCCGCCTCGAATCGTCAATGTTCGACTCGTTTAGTTTGGATGGTTTTGGTCTAAGCTGGTTAGGTTTCTTTTCTAACGAGTAAAAAAATTTCTGACTCACATCACCCGTCATTTTTCCAATATCAACGAACCAACTCGTTGAACCAACATATATAATATTCTTTATTTATATTTATTCTAAATCTCAATCAATATTTTTTATATATAGTTTATGATACGAGAGTTTTATTAATTTTTTTTATATTTTTTATATATAATAAACTATATATAAAAAATATTGATTGAGATTTTAAAAGATAAAAAATTATCTAACAATAGTTTAATAAAAAAATAATTTAAATAGATAATAACAAAGAAATATATTTTAATAACATTTTCATATTTATACTCTAATTTTCATTTAATATTTGCAATTATCACAATTATAATAATTAAGATATTTATAATATCATATAAATGATATGAAAAAAAAGAAACATAAAATTATATTAGATTTTTTTTATATAATTTTTTTTTAAAAAAAGTCATCTCATTGAGTAGTCTGTCATCTCGCCGAAGTAGATTCATTGAACACGTATTTAATGAGCCTGACTCGTTAGGTTCATTTTTTAATGAACTGAACAAATCATGGTTCAGATAAGTTCATTTTTTGATGAGCCATGAACCGGCTCGCTAACTGAATTCGTTTTGACACTCCCTATATTCCATACTCATAGTTTTGTTAATTTTATGAAAAATATAGTATTTTTATATGGGAAAAACTCTTGAAATTCCTAAACCGGCAGGAAACTCATCCCCAAACTTAAACTTAGAGTTTTTTTATAAAAAAAACTTAAACTTAGAGTTGTTCAACTTAAAAAATTTTGACACGATAATTTCTAAATTTGATTAAAAGTATCGTAATCGTCTTTACAATAAATTTGACTAAAATAATATGTTGAACAATTTTACGTAACGCAAGACACGTCAGATTTTAATGTCATATATACAAAATCAGATTTAATAAATACAGTGTAACAACATCGGTTCGTAATAGTAAACATTCTGGTTCAATAAAAATAACAATTTGGAAGATATTTATGGGTTCGATGACCTTTTCTATCATCGCGTCTCTTCTTTAAACGACATCATTCTCATAGAAAAGTATGGGATGAAAAAATCTAACCCAATGTCGGTTACTTCGACAGCCAAATGCTCATGTTTCGATAGAGACGCTACCGATCTGGATCTAGAACTCGAAAACTGTCAATGATGTTAATTATTTTGATCTCTGACGTTATTCCAAATCTTTTGGTTAATCGAAATTTTCACTATTATGAACCAGTTTTGTTAAATTGTATCTATTAAATTCAGTTCTGCATATATGATATAAAAGTTTGATATGTCTTGACAATTCACGTGTCACGTAAGTTTGTTCAACACATTATTTTGATCAAAATTATTGTCAGGACGATTATGATATTTTTAAGCAAATTTAAAAATTATAGTCTCCAATTTTTCAAGAAATAAATAAAAATACCTATAAATTTAGGAATTAATGTTTACCGGATTACAAATTTGAAAATTTTTAGGCTTTTTTCTTTTTTATATTATTCAATATTAAAATTTTTTGTATATTATATATATATACACAATTTAAAGTTAGATTCTTTGTCCAAAAGAACATATTCAAAGTTTGCTTTTATTTCATTATTTGCTAAATCAAAATTGTTTTTTTAATGTGCTTCATATTTTCATAGTATACGCTTTATAATGAAATGATATGTATCAAATATGCAGATTATAGATTTAGTGTCATTACATACATATATATTGAAATCGAAATGAATAAATAGAAAAATAAAATAAAACACGGAAAAATCAGGTACATCGCTGTCCACCTTATCCAAATTATTAAATCCACCGAACACTCCCAAAATGGACCAAAACAACAACCAGCAGCCGCATTCCTCCGCCTACCCTCCTCCTCCTCCTCCGTCCGCCGCCGCCGCCGCCTCCGGAGGCATCGTCCCCTCAGCCGCCGCAGCAGCCGGAGGAACCCCCTACCACCACCTCCTCCAGCAACAGCAGCAGCAGCTCCAGATGTTCTGGTCGTACCAGCGTCAGGAGATCGAGCAGGTTAACGATTTCAAAAACCACCAGCTTCCTCTCGCTCGGATTAAGAAGATCATGAAGGCCGACGAAGATGTCCGCATGATCTCCGCCGAGGCCCCGATCCTCTTCGCCAAGGCCTGCGAGCTCTTCATCCTCGAGCTCACGATCCGATCCTGGCTCCACGCCGAGGAGAACAAGCGTCGCACCCTCCAGAAGAACGACATCGCCGCGGCCATCACCAGGACCGACATCTTCGATTTCCTCGTCGATATTGTCCCCAGGGACGAGATCAAGGACGAGGTCGCGCTCGGCGGGATGGTGACGCCGACGGCGAGCGGTGTTCCGTATTATTACCCTCCGATGGGTCAGCCGGCGGGGCCCCGCGGGGGGGGGGGGCGGTGTTCCGTATTATTCCCCTCCGATGGGTCAGCCGGCGGGTCCCGGCGGGATGATGATCGGGAGGCCCGCCATGGATCCCACCGGAGTTTATGTGCAGCCGCCATCTCAGGCGTGGCAGAGCGTTTGGCAGACTTCGGCCACCGGCGATGAGGTGTCGTACGGAAGCGGCGGGAGCAGCGGCCAGGGTAACCTTCAGGGCCAAGGGTACGTTTCCCTTCTTCGTGCTCTAGTCCGGACAGCAAATGTGCCTTGTTTGAGTGGTCATCTAGGGGGTTTAGGACTCGCCATGATAATTGAGTTTGTTTTATTCAAACTACTGTTTGGCTTTAAGTCGAGGAACCTGGATGTTGACATCTTAGCCATATTTGTTCCAATTCTGTGCCTGTTCGTTGTCATTGTTGATCCTCTGAGGTTGGTCAGCTCAATCAAACTTGGTATGTCTGCGAATCTTGAGAGTCCAAGATATGGGGTTGCAAGTAATCATCTTTCTGCTGTCGTTATATTGCCAGAGTGCTTTCTGGTGTTGGTGTTTCCTCTTTGTTCCTGAACGCTGTCTCCATTGTACCATTTGTTGATAGAAAACTTTGCCCAGTCTTCTTCTTCGGATCCAAGACTGAAACTTTGAGATTGCAGATTTTTCAAAATGCCATCTTGCTGTCTGTTTCTGTTGGGAATTGACAGTTTTGTATCATTTTTCTTGCAGCTGAGCATGAGGATTTCAGATGCCGCCTTCTTGCCAGGTGCTGCTGTTGAAGACAGTGGAATTCAGTCGACACTACCTTGATTTTTCATGCATCTGATTTATGTCTGCTGCTTTCAATTTTACGGGCTTACTTGGAAAAAGAAACTCAGCCTTCTGCGCAAAGCTTATAAGACAATGCAGCCAAAAACCATAACTGCTGCAACTCAGCCTAACAATATGTCGAATGTGCAGTTTCTAATTTTCGCTTTCATTTTTCTCCCGTGCTCTTAGTTTCACGATCTGCTCGTCCACTTCTTCGTATGAATGATGATCACATCCGATGCGTTGCAGTGTTCTTGGTGAACATATTACAGTAACATATCTTTGTCTATAGGGATTTTTTTTTGGGATACTTTACTTGAGCCCTTGACAGGTGACTTTCCAGTATTCATAACTCAATAATGCATTTTTGGAGGCTGGATCCTTGATATGGTGCTCAGTCAAGAGAGCAATAGTCATTAATCATTATCCAGGTACCTCTTCTTGGTATTGGCTCTTTCTATACAGAGAAACATGTGGGAATGGTGATCTTTGGCACTGGTTTGGATCCGAACCTCTGATCTTCTGCCTCCTTCCTTTCGCCATGCAGAAACATATACATGCAAAGGCGGTCGGTCCATTGCTTCCTGACAGCTGGAGACCGAGCTACTGAGCTCGTCATGGCGGCGACCAGAACGGGAGGTTTAAGTGCCGCAGGACACTATCAATCATCGCTAGTGAAGCCAAGACAAAGGTACATATTAGATGAGGGATTTCGGTTCTTAGTTGGGTTGGATTCGGTTATATTCTCGGCTTCAGTTTTTTGAAACCTTTTCGGTTTCAAAAGACCTATATCCGAATTTTTATATTAGATTCATTTAGATTTGGTTTTGGTTTCTATACGATAAAATATCTATTTTTTGACGAAATTCTCTGTTTTTCCATTATTTTTATATTTAGATTCGATTTGGTTCTACCCATTCGCAGAATTCGATTCCAATATTATTCGGTTCGGTTTTGCAACAGAACCGAAATGCCGATGCCGACCCTTGGTACATATACATAGAAAATCTAAGATTGTGAGTTTGTGAATGTGAATGTGAATGTGAATGTGCTTTATAATCTTTTACTTGTGAAGCAAGTAAAATTGCAAAAAAAAATGGTGTAAAGAAAAGGTAAAGAGTACACTTTTTTTTCCCGCAAATTAATGTAGGTTTAGAATAAGGAATATGTTAATTTGAGGATTATAGTTTCTATCCCGAAGCCTATATTAGAGGACTTGATTAATTGTGATGGTTATTGTTATTTAACCATATTTTCTTCCCCTGCATCCACAACGTCAACGGGACGAGACAAAAAGTATAAAAGAAGGCCGTCTCGAAATCAATCGATCATCTTCCTAATCCTAACGAGGAACCATCTTGGAAAAAAAAAAAACCCTAATTTGGCTACCATCGGATCTTCGAAGCCATGGAAGCCATTGATTCAGCTATCGATCCTCTCAGAGATTTTGCCAAGAGCAGCGTACGCCTCGTCCAGCGTTGTCACAAGCCCGATGACAAGGGTAAGCGATTTCTTCCGCTTTGATTTCTCTGCAATTTTTGGATTTTTTTTAAATCTACCAAAAAATAGGGTTTTTTTTTTCGGATTGTTGTGGTTTGATTTGTTTCGTTGATTCGGATATCTTAATCTCGGTATTCGCTGTGCGCAGAATTCAGAAAGGTCGCCGTGCGCACGGCGATTGGATTCGTCGTGATGGGGCTCGTCGGGTTCTTCGTGAAGCTCGTCTTCATTCCGATCAACAACATCATCGTTGGATCTGCTTAGGTAAATTTTCAGTTTGAAAATTGCGGTGCTTTTTTCATTGTACGAAACATCATTGTGCTTTAGGCTTTTACCTTTTCTGGAACTTGCAGCATTGTTATGGTTACAATGTTTCCATGGTCTGCAAACCTTTTCAAAATTGGCAATGATGTGTTCTGGTCTATAATTGCATCTGAACAGGACAGATATTATTGGGATGCTTTTTATTTCTGATACAGTGGTCCCATTGAACTCTAGGGATTATGATTATTGGTCGATTAAGTTGCTATAACAAGTTATCAGTTGCATTTTGGATCTCTTCAGGTCGGCTTTTACGGCCGGTTTCTTGACATTCTAGGCATGTTTTGTGTGGGTTTGAGCTGCATTTGCGAAATCAGGTCTTGAAAGGCCTAAATGACGTAACCGGCTTCTATCCTTTTGTCATTGTCTAGGCTTATGGTTTCGGCTAGTGAGTTTGTCCTGAATCTCCCTTTGTTCATCTGTTAGCGGTTTGTGCTTTCATGGATCCTATTTCTTGTGCCTTTTTCCTTTCTGCCGCTTTAGCTCTTTGTCGAGGAAGGTTGCTGCCCAACTGGCTTTATATATGAGTTTGTGAATTGCCACAATTTTCTAGGGAAGCTCCTAGTCTTGGAATTCTGTTGTTTGTTGAAGGAATTTGAGGAAGTGTAGACTTGCAATGACTGGGTGATAATCATCTAACTAAATATGCATCCTACTAGAACTTTGAATCTGTGATCCTTTCTTGTCCTCTATTAGACTCTCTAATAACACAAATCATGTAGTAGAATATCTTTTTTTTGGTAAATTCTACAATATACAGCCCCCCCCCCCCCCCCCCCCCCCCTCCCCCGCCGATAAGCTTCGCCGCCATGATCTTTCGCCGGATTTTCTCAGCTTGTTATCCCCCCCCTCTCCCTGCCATGCCCCCGACCCATCCACACACTGTTGGATTTTTTGGGATGTCTTTTGGTCATCTCTTTGTTCTTGGCAGGGGAATGATGGTCGAAGAAGAAGATGAGCATTTAAAGAGAATCCAAATGCCATAGAACTCCGACCTTATTAGACTTCATTAGGTCTTCTTGTTTTTCCCTAATTGAAATGTTTTCATTATATGTCTTTTTTTTTTCTTTTTTTCAAGATTCTTCGTTTCATAAAAAATTAATTTCGCCGCTATTTCTTATTGGAGGTTTGCTCTTGTCTTGTAAATTTAGATAAGCATTATATCAAAACTATCTTCTTTATTACATGCGATTTCAAATCATTTTTTTTAACTTAGTTTTATATGACCAATATAATCAATGTGACCATCGTATAAATTTAAATGGTGTGATCAATGTTATTAGTGTAATCACCATATAATTTTAACAATTGATTTTGAAATAGATCACGATAATCATATTGATTCATATAGAAAAGGATGTAGATCACACTGGTCATACAAAAAATGATGTAGAAAAGTATAAAAGTATACACTGGAGTATATATCTATATAACAAAAGATGGGTATTTTTTTTTATAATGGCCCTTCGGATAAATCAATGTCTTCTCTATATATATAAGTAAATGTTTCACGTGTGCATTCTTCTGGCTCGAAACAAGGTATTCCAATGGAGATACATCTCTTGAGCCTGGTTCTGGAGCAAACCGGCCGGTTAGGCTCGGTTTCTTAACACCCCAGAAAAAGCAAGAATTTATATACATATTAGATGTCCCATAAGCAATATCAAATAATAAAATACGGAAAAAATGAAACTAGATAAAAATAATAATAATTTATTTTGGTTAGAGTTGGGAGATATAAAAAAGAGGAGACAAGAAAAGATACAATCCACATGGGGATGCAGAAAACATAAAAGGTGAAAAAAGCTGGACAAAGGAAATGGCCCTTTGAAAATGATGGCTCTCTCCCCTTCACCTTTTCTCTCACAAATCCACACAACCCCACTATTGTTTTGTTTTCAAAGTTTAATATGATTGCAGGATGTGTATCTATATATATATATAATGTCTTCCCATCTGTATACATACATGTATATAGAGTGTGTCTACGTACGTACATATATATAGTTACAAACTGTGTGTATGTGTGTGTGTGTGTAAAGACAAATATGAAAAGACAAAATGTGAAGGTTATGTCACGACGGGCTGTTGCGTGCATTGATGTATCATATGTTTCCATTGTCTTCTAATTTCACTGACATATCTCTATCGTTCCGATGAATTCAAACTTTGATTTCATTGCTTCGCGTAGTACACACCACAACACTCACTCTCACACACAAGCATATACTTTGTATAAGTCTTTATATATATATATATATATATATATATATATATATATATATTCTCATGTCGTCACAATTATTAAATTAAGACTCATATTTTGAAATGGAATACTTCTTGTTGAAGATACAAAACCAATACTAAATGGTATACGTATATATATTTGACGAGATATTTGTTACATATATTATTATTATCATGCTATCAAATTGCCAATTTGCCATCCAATATGCATGACCGCTTTATACCTAGGTTTTATTCGAGATCTAATGATTCCGTTTGTATATAACGTAAATTAAAAGTACAATAGAAACGTAAAATAAACAGGAGTTTATCAAATAAAAACATGTCACTGCATGCATGCATAATTCTATCGAAGAATTCTGATTTTTTTTTAATGTCTAGCATGTAATAAGAGGATCTAGGGTTTAGATTTACGTAATATATATCTGTTTAGATTTTTTTTTTTAATAATCGGAGAGTTTCAATCCAACTATATTTTCTAAAAATCGAAAAAATTCACATAAATATCCCTTCTTAAATAGATATTCGAACTTGGGATTGAAAAAATATTTGTTTCAACTTTTACCAGTTAACCACCTATATTACAGATATATTAATGTTATTATTATTATTATTATTATTATTATTATTATTATTATTATTATTATTATTATTATTACACTACAAAATTTATTTGTTTTGAATGTCGAACGCTATGATAATATGAAAATGATAACAACCAGAAAAAAAATTTAAGGAAATGAGTGCTTTGGTTAGAGACAAACCAAGTTTTCAGTGAACCAAACTATATAATGTAATAAAATAAAACAAATCTGTCAAATCATTGAATTTACATTTTCCTCTATAATAGTATATGTCCCACGATTTTATTCTCTTTTCTGCAATTAGGGATTGAAATCTCTTATCCTATCTTCTTCTTTCCGTGTGTTCCTTTCATTAGGACCTAACTAAAAATCTTTGATTCCTTCGCCCCCACCAGATATTATATTCTCCATTTCAGACAACTTTTCTACCATTTATATTATAATATTAAACGTTACCTATATTAATTAGTTATGAATGACATATATAAAAACTTGTGCATATATGTATATATATATATATATATCAAAGCCAAAACCCAATTAACTTGGACATACATATATATATATATATGTAGATATATATTTTTTGTGCTAGTCATCCAAAAACCATAGATTCTCAAGTTTTCTCCTTCCATCTTGGATCGATTTCTCTCTCGATCTCTCTAGAACAATAGTTCTAGCATACGTTCCATTCAATGAGTGTTAATTTGGTGTACAGAGCACTTGATTTTATCGTTTTTATGATCAATCACATCGAAAATATTAGTATTTTGATAATTGTATCATTACATACACGATCTATCATTAGAATTTCGTCTGTTTATATATATGCGATCTGTGAAATCCCTAATATGGAACTCTAAAATGTTTTTCGGTACATGTTTAGAGATCTTCAAAATTCAAAAAATATAATGGCAGGCTCAAAAACATATATTATTGAGGACAAATTTATTTTTATGATAAACATTTTTAAATTGGAGGTATTTCATAGTTTTATTTAAAATTTTACATAATTTATATAGAAAATAATTTTTTTTTCTATTGATTGAATGGGTGCATGTGCCCCTATCTAGAAACGTATAGATCTGACATATATATATCTTCACTAATTTCTTAACTTACATATATATTATTCGCTATACATATGCGCTAATTATGCCAAGTTTTCACTCTAATCCACAACAAAGAAAGCCAAAAAAGGTTGAGGGAGACAAAGTCATGAGTGGGGTTTATGGGTTTTCTTTGATTTTTTCTCATTGGTGTTTGTTAATGGAAAGAGAGAGAGCTAAGGGGAAGAAGTTGAAAGCAAGTGGATACCTTCTTCTTGCTTTTTGTTCCGATTCATTTGCATCTTTATATCATTATCAAAGGTTCCACCCTTCATCTAACGATGTCCCCCCTCGGGATTTTTTGACATCTCAATTGCTCTTGCAAAATCTTCCCTTCATCTTCAAGTTTGATGAATCTGATTGTGAATATAATCGTATCTTGTACTGTCTTTTCTCATTTTATCATGAAACAGACGCTTCCATGATCTAGCTACTTGTTTTTTTTCATAATTTAATAAGGTCCATATATATATATTTCCGGTTTGGTGGATAAAAAAATATCATCCGTCAAGTGAACTTGAGTTGCAATATCTATTTCCATATCCCTAAATCTCTCTCTCTCTCTCTCTCTCTCTCTCTCTCTCTCTCTGCAGACCATGCCGATTTGATTTTATTATGTATATATATATATATATATATATTATGCAACATATATAATTGATCTTTCCGATCACAATCTTTTCATTGCATCGTTAAAGTCGACTATAGATTAGTATTAGTAATATAATAATATAAAAATAAAATAAAAAAAATGTGTCGGTATTGTGGTAAACTATATATTTGAAAAACGTTATACTAACAATTACTAAACACTATTTAGTTTTTAAACCCGACATTTTCGGTAACACATATCCTAATATACGCATGTATTAGATAACCTTTATAGCACTGTAAATCCCTAACACATATCCTAATATCGTGATTAATTAAATCTCTTTGCCTTAAAAAGCACTCTCTAGGGTTTCATCGCATTGGTCGTCCTATAGCCTTTTTGCAGTTTTCGTATCCACGCGTGTCTTAGACAACATAGTACTGCTTTCTAGCTTTACTCACTTTCATTTCAATTTTCGTCGTAATTTAATGATCTATAATTCGATTTTTTTCAAGATCTATAAAATACTGCAAGATGAGTTGTTCAAGCACGGGAAAACGTGCATATGATCATAGCTTTAATTAATCACCACGAGCATAGGCGATTTCAATCATTTCAACCGTATGAAATGATATTGTAATTATACTAATTAATTAAGAACACTAATAAATTTTGTATTTCTTTAGCATGTTTTGTGTTTAGCTTTTAATTAGACCCTGTCCTTTATGTTCCTTTTTATCTTGATGATGTACGTACGTATACTATATATATTATTAGTTTTGGTGAGTGATCATGCATGTTTATGCAACCCATCATGTACATGCATGTGTACGTGTATGTAGACATATATATATATATATATATATATATCATTTTTACCGACCAATTATGTCAAAGATCGTGCAAATTCAATAGATCACAGCCTCTGTTTTCACATTTCACATGTCTCTTCGTTGTTCTTACATATTCATTTACGTCTCCCTTTCCGTAATAACCAATTGGGAATTATGGCGATTTAGACCCATAAAAGCATTAATTAAATTGAAATAACAGCAGCTAGAATTAAAGATACGAAGACAATCGTGAGAAATGAAAAAGAATATTACGATCTTCCTTGGTAAATAAGGAGGTTTTAGGGCAAGAAACCATCCTTAGATTTGGAGGAAAACAAAGATCCCAATATACACCAAATTCGGAAACCCTAAAACAGTAAAACCCCCAAAAGAAAGTTCTTATTATTTTTCCGACAGTGAAACCAATGATCTCCTTCTCATGATTAAATTAATATATCCATTGTAATTAATTAGGTGTTTTAGGGCCTAAACCTCTGCCTGCAGGAGTGGCAATTAGCAATCTCCATGCACATTGCCCTTTCCTCCAACCGCTCGGCTTTCTCCACTTCCTCCCTCGCTCTCTGCCATATCTTCCTGATTCATCCGAACCAATCCCGACTTCAAAGCCGTGCATTCCAAGATTAATTCATGATATATACATATATATATATATATATATATATATATATTCGAGTTTAAAGTGAAAGTTTTGACACCATAGATCTTTAGAATATAATACGAGCTGGTTCATCTATATATCCCGTTTTTGTAAATATCATATAAAACCAGTTCGAAAAAATGGAGCTGGTCCAAACCAAATCTGGGTCCGGTATTGGGTGATGAATTCTCACGAGAAATCCGGTTAGGCGAACCGGAGCGGTCATGCAGTACCTGGCGCGGGCGAACTCGGACTGAGCCAACTCCATCTCCCTTCGAGTCAACTCTCTGACCCTCTGGGCGTAAGCCTTCTCAATGGCAGCGAGCCTTATATGCTCCGCCGCCTGCCACCTCACCGTCTCCAGACCGTACGGATGCTCCGCCGCCGCCGTGGCGATGGAGAGCTTGAGGTCGAGATCATGCTGTATCATCATCGCAGACGAGCCTGTCATCATCTGCACCGTCGGTTTCTGCTTCCTCACCGCCTGATCCGATGGCCGACATGGCAACAGCTGTAGCTCCTTTTGGCTGTCTCCCGCCATTAACAACTCTCTCTCTCTCTCTATCTCTCTCTGAAATGCGTGTAAGAAAGGGCTGTTGATGAGTAAGTGATATATATATACACATATACATATATACATTATACTCGTAAGTAAATCGCTTGAAATGAAGTATTTACTCCTAATTTTTATTTTTGTGGGTCATTTTTGCCTTTTTGATGATGTACAAAGTGTGTGCCCTAATGAAATTTATTGTTTTTTTTTTGTTTTAAGTTGGAGAATGGAAAATTATTTATCCAAAGTGACTCTAGAAGTTAAGAATTTTTGTGTTTGTATAATTTAACATAAAACAAATTAGTTCATTCATTGTAATTAACGTACGATTTGCCATATAAATTAGAAAATCACCAAAAGTACATTTTATGACTTTTTTCAGAAAATTTTGTAGCCATCAACCTCGAAAATACTACAAAGGAAACACAATTAACTTCATGATTGGTGAAGCACGTGGATTTTTTTTTTTAAATTTTGTCACTTTTGTGGACAATTTTTTTTAAAAACTATTACTTGCTTTACCAAGAGGAGGGAGTGGTTTTATGTAATAATTGGAGAAGCACGTGGCTTTTTGGGTTCAAAAGGTCCTTTCATAATCTTTTTAAAATAAATTAGAAAAATCTCAATAAAAACCATCTACTTTTTTCTCATCATAATTTAAATCCTATATTTTTTTTATCCAAAAAATATGGTACTTTTAAAAATTGACAAAATAAAACCCTGTATTTTTTAAAATTAACAAATAAAATCCTGAACGAAAAAATACTATTTAATACTAACATGACATCATATTCATCTACCACACCATCAATTCCTAATATTTAATAATATTAAATAATAATAATAATAATAAAATAATAATATTAATAAAAATAAAAATTTAAAAATTATATACATTCATATACACATATATCACACATACATATATATTTTGATGATGTACAAAGTGTGTGCCCTAATGAAATTTATTGTTTTTTTTTTGTTTTAAGTTGGAGAATGGAAAATTATTTATCCAAAGTGACTCTAGAAGTTAAGAATTTTTGTGTTTGTATAATTTAACATAAAACAAATTAGTTCATTCATTGTAATTAACGTACGATTTGCCATATAAATTAGAAAATCACCAAAAGTACATTTTATGACTTTTTTCAGAAAATTTTGTAGCCATCAACCTCGAAAATACTACAAAGGAAACACAATTAACTTCATGATTGGTGAAGCACGTGGATTTTTTTTTTTAAATTTTGTCACTTTTGTGGACAATTTTTTTTAAAAACTATTACTTGCTTTACCAAGAGGAGGGAGTGGTTTTATGTAATAATTGGAGAAGCACGTGGCTTTTTGGGTTCAAAAGGTCCTTTCATAATCTTTTTAAAATAAATTAGAAAAATCTCAATAAAAACCATCTACTTTTTTCTCATCATAATTTAAATCCTATATTTTTTTTATCCAAAAAATATGGTACTTTTAAAAATTGACAAAATAAAACCCTGTATTTTTTAAAATTAACAAATAAAATCCTGAACGAAAAAATACTATTTAATACTAACATGACATCATATTCATCTACCACACCATCAATTCCTAATATTTAATAATATTAAATAATAATAATAATAATAAAATAATAATATTAATAAAAATAAAAATTTAAAAATTATATACATTCATATACACATATATCACACATACATATATAATGAAATTAAATGATATACATATATACATATATATGAACATATTTATATATGCACACATATATATATACATATAATATATACATATATATGTATATAATTATATGTTTTATATGTATGTGTTATATATGTATTTTTTTTTAAAAATCATTACATATATATGTATGATTTTTAGGAAAAAATCATATATCACACATACATATAACATATAATTATACACATATATATATGTATGTATTATATATATATATATGTTTATATATGTATATCATTTAATTTCATTATATATGTATGTGTGATATATGTGTATATGAATGTATATAATTTTTAAATTTTTATTTTATTAATATTATTATTTTTTATTAATTAATATTATTAAATATCAAGGGTAGATGTTGTGGAAGGTGATTAGGATATCATGTCAGGATTAAGTAGTATTTTTTTTTCGTTCAGAGTTTTATTTGCCAATTTTTAAAAGTACAACGTTTTTTTGGATAAAAAAAAATATAAGGTTTAAATTGCGACGAAAGAAAAATACAAGATTTTTATAATTGGGATTTTCCCAAATAAATATAATACCAAGATCATTTCGTTTTTTTTAATCGTGGATAAATATTATAATAGTTTTAACTAAAATATTACTCAAACTCCATTTGTTTATCATGTTTAGAGTTTTGTTGATGAAGTTTTAAAATTTTATATCATCATCATCATCGTCATCCGCGTCCGATAAGAGAAGGCTATTTTTTATAATGTTTTTTTTTCCAATGCCATAGAGGTATCCGCAATATAATTCAAAATTTTAACTAAAATATAAGTTATAAAATAGATTAAAGTTTGAATATTCTCACAATGTTCTTTAGACTTGATAGCTTTTTAACTGATTATAATACATTCTTATAATGTTATTTATTTTTTATATTAGAATAAAAATATTATTTTTATAGAAGCTAATAAAATTTAAAGAGAAAGAGACAATTTTCTTTTGTTATCAAATTACATAATGATGATTTTTTTTACAAACTGTCTTTGAATTAGAACTAAAAATGGTACATTAATAGAACACAAAACAAAACAACCCCACCAATAATAATTGACATGTTTATTAAATAGTGAACATATATAAATAAATAAATATGAAATGTATAATTAGAGTATCAATTTAGTTCCGAGATCTAAAATCCGGTCCGATTTAACCTAAAAAGTGGGTATCGAGTCGGGCTTTCGAGTCGGATTTAAATCGGGTTTCGAACTCAATTTAGGTCAGTTTGAAAACTCGATATATTTATAAAAAAAGAAAAAAAATAACATTTAAAGAAAATTATACAGACTGGTGTGACCCGACCCGACTTGATCTGAATCCAAAATATATTAGGTCAGACTTTGAACTTAACTGCATAGATCAGAAAAAATTGGATCGGCCTGAAACTAATATCCAAAACCTTCGAGTCAAGTGTGGACTCGGATCGAATTGGATTGGTACATGCCGATTGACACCCCAATCTATAATATATGTTGGGAGAAAAAGTATGACATCAAAGGCATGAGAGAGAGAGAAGAGAGAAGAGAAGGAGAAAGGGTAAATAAGCTTTGCTCATAGGAAAAACTCACTGAAACAGATATGGTAATTAACAACGTCGAGGGAAAGGGAAAAAAGTTCGGATTTTTTTTTCAACATTTTCTGGGATATTTTCTCGGCTGCCGAACACACACTTGACAGGGTCTTCCGCGTCACACGGCCCATATCCTCGGTTCACCAGATAATCGCCTCGGCTTCCGTTGTTTCCTTCCTGCAACTTCTTTACACACAGATCTCTCTCTCTCTCTCTCTCTCTCTCTCTCTCTCTGTTAGTCTGTTTGGGCTAGGGTTTATCAGTGGTTTGGCCATGGAGGCTTCGTCTTCTCGGCAGCCCGATTCGTCTAATCTAACTGCTTCCGCCGCTTCCAAGTACCTCGCCGACCTTCCATCTCGCGGTCTCTTCTCCTCCACCGTTGTCTCTTCCAATCCGGTAAACTTCGCTGAAACCCTAGACATGGTTGCCTTTTCGACGCTCGATTGACTATTGAGTTCGGGTTCTGCTGATGAAATTTTGGGTATTGAAAGTAACAGACTCTACCCTTTTGTTCAATTTGTTCAAACTCTGAGACACATCAGTTATAGAGTCATTTCGATGGAAGACAAGTCCGAGGTTTAAATCTTAAGTGCTATTTTTAGGACCAGAAGGGTTTCTTTTGCTTTGAGTAGTATCAAACGCCATGGACATATAAACTTGAATATCTGTGATGTTTCTGTCAAATTGTGTGATGATAAATGGCAAAGTCGTTTAGGTTGTATTGTTCATTCGAGTTTAGAGGATCCTCAACATTTATTTATGGCCCAAATTCATGGTGACTAGTCTTGTTAGTCTTTGGTGTTCGTAATTGTTGACTGAGAATAACGGATGATCCTATAGATGGACACTACTATGAATAGGTGTGGCTTCATCTTGTTGTCTTGTCCCACGGGAAAAGATATCGAACTCAGATTGCGAAACCTGTTGACTTGAGTGTTTCCTGACCTGATGTTCGAACATGTTCTTCATTCTACATGTTTTAACATTAGTTAAATCCTGGGTAGTAATGCTGATTGCTGAATGGAATGGATAGCTTGTTTAATTTTGGAGCCATTGATAGTTTTCATTGTTCCTATTTTTTTTTTCTTTTTATGTTTGCCGGGCCGCCACAGGCAATGTTTGTTTCTATGCAGACCCATTAGTGGCTCTTGCCATTTGTTTGTGCAGTTTGTGTAGCATTGCCTTTGTTGATTGATCAGTGATGTATTCATACATGTGGTAAATTTGCATTTGTGTACGAATGCAGGGAGGTATGCGGGTCTATATATGTGAACATGACACATCTCCCCCAGGTATTTGTTTCTTTAATTATCTTCTGTCTTGTTCTTTTTCTTTCTTCTTTTTTTTTTGGCTAGATCTATCACATTAGCTATCCTGTAAAAGTTATTGGTGCTCGCTGAGTATGATTTCTTCATTAACTAGACAATTTCATTGACTAAACATGTTGTTGTCTCTTAATAAGTTAATATTTGGAGGCATAATCAAGTTTATACTTTATAATTCACCTTTATGAGTGTTGATGCACACTCTATTCAGAAGAAGTTGCTGTCAGATAATTTTGTGTCATCGTTTGCTATTTCCTTTCGATTGAATTGTTAGGAAGAAAAGTTAAACTTATTGTTATCCGTATATCCAGACGGGCAACAGATCAAAACAAACCAGCAAAATATACTCATTAGATCTCTCATGATAAAGAAACAAAGAGGTGAATCTAGTTCAAAGGATGCAAAAGGAGCTGCTGAAGATGGCCCTAGAAAGAGGTATTTGATTCATCCATTGGATCATCACATAACTTTTTCGGCTCATTTCTCAATCTTAAAGTATTCTTGTTGCGGGCATATATGTTCGTTTAATAGCTACTATGATTTCCCTTCTCTGCTTTTCTTTGCAATAGAGCTGCAAATAGAGCACTGGAGGAGAGAACTACAGCCAAGAGAGCTACTAATGGAACTAGACAAGGTAAGCTTCGATCATATCTGTCCTGTGATTTCATTTTGATAGATCCAAAGGCCACTTAAAGAATTCTCCTGCACAGAGGAAAAAGACTATCATTCTTTGACTGTTGAGAAGCTTCGAGCCATTCTCAAAGAGAAGGGTCTTCCAGCAAAAGGAAGAAAGGCAAGTCCTCATTACATATACCCGTCTAAAAAAAATCCAAGCTTGCTCTTGCTATTTATATTATCATATGGATATGTTTCCCGTTGGTTAGTTTTCGCCCGTGATACTTGTACTTAAATATTTGGTGACTGGCAGGATGAGCTCATTGCACGACTGAAAAACGCCAACAGTTAATCCAGTAAGTAGATCAAGCCATGAAAACAGGGGGGAGATATAGATTATGGATGGTTGTAACTTGAGAGGTTAAGTATGGTCTGGAACTTAGGGTTCTTGGTTAGAATGGGATCCGGTTTAATTATCTGGAATTTGGGTTCTTGAACATATGTGGGTCCTTTTTTGGTCTTTTGGGATCTGTCATCTGAAATTTGGGGAGGTTTCTTTAACATGTAAATTTGCAATAGTTACATGTCCCCAAATGCAGGAATGGGCATGGATCCGGTTCGGTTATTATGGGTTTGCTAGAACCGTTAAACCGGATTGGACCGTTTCAGTGAAGCCACAACTGGAATGGTAATGTTCTAGTTATGGTTATTGTTGGTGAAATTCAATCCAACCGCTTTTATCATCGTAATCAATCATTGCAGTTTGAGTTCGGGTTTGTATGTTTGTTTAAAAAATAACCAATGTCAGATAATTTTTTAATTTTCTTTTTGACAATATTGAAGAAAAAAACAAAAAACAAGAAAGAACAAAGAGAGGGGCTTATGAATAAACTTTAAAAACCAACTGATGTTTTCCGGTTTGGTCCAATTCGGTCGAACAGTACCAGATGACTAATCTCTATGCCACCATAACCTTGAGATAAAGATGTCAAAATTCCGGAAGATGGAAAGGAAAACAGAAACAAAGTACAATGAATGAAACTTGGATGGCATAATGAACAACCTCCTCTTCAGTTATAACCAGAACACACCTCCTCCCAAGAGCTTCTGCCTTCTGTCATTCATCCTTCTTCAATGGATCTCTGTTACATTACAGAGTTAATCACCAGACAAGAGAAGCGCATACATGTATACACATGAAATGCTTCAGTGCATGTATATGAATATGGCATATACATATACATGTACATGAATGTGGCATGTACACGTGTCTATTTTGCTGCTGGAGCACCTAACTCGGATAAGATGTTGTCCATGTCCTCAAAGTGTGGCCAACTGTTCTTCCCTTCTGTATCAGCCTTGCACTCCTGCAAGAACCACACAACATTGTACAATCTTTCAACAAAAACGTCTACATATAGATGTATATACAACGGGGTTCAACAGCTCTGTTTAAGCACAGACAATGAGAAAGTTTCAAGAACACTAGAGGTCATCTATCAGTAATCAACAGTGCCATATTTCCAGAAAAAAAAAGCAAGAAAACGGATAATCTTTGATCTTTATGATCTAACCAGGATTGAAGTTTTTCTGCATGAAGCATCTGTTTCAAAATTTAAGTACCTTTTTCTTAATTTTGATAAATAGCGATTGTTCTCTATGGTGTAACCGGAAAGAATGCTCTAAGCATGATTCCCAGAGTTAAAGAACACTACCAAGAGATGAAGAACGAACCTCATATTTCTGAATGAGAGATGCCCAGAGAGATTTGCACTGTCCTGGGCTTCTGATGATTCCATCAGCCATTAGGTTTGTAGAAATTTCTTCCCACAAAGCCATTCTGCCTTTCACCACCTGAAATCTGCTGTGCAGTTCTCCACGCGTCCTTATAAGCTTCTTAACCTCTTCAGGCTTCCATTTGTTCCGCTTGATACGTTTTGAAGGCTTTGACTCGGAATCTGACGCTTCAGATGAATCATCATCTCTGCTACTGATCTTTTCATCCTCTGTCTTAACCTCTGCATCAGCCACCGTATATGCATTTTCCAATTTAGCAGCAGGCGAAGGTGATGTTGAAGTGATGAACGATTTCCAAAAATCTTCGGACTCTTCAGAACTCCCTGAGTGCGTATCTTCAACTGTGTAACCTGATGCCGAGGCTTCTTCATTATCCAGCAGTCTTGCACTGCCGACAATATCATCTACTTCTCTTGGACGGTCTTGTGGAGATGTCTTCTTTGACCGACTTCTTCTGGGTTGTCCTTCCAAAACTTTCTTTAACGCTGACACTCCAGAACCAACATTTGAATCGCCCGATAGTTTCATCCTGACCTCATCTGAGACGACAGCCATGGGATTTTCCATGGCTACAGCAATGATTTCTGGCCTTTTACCACTATACTTCCGGACAATCTTCCTCAGTACTTCGGCAACCGTTCGTTCCATGTGAGCCAAGGGGCAGTTCACAGGACAGCTTGATAGAGAAGCATGAGCAGCTTTGTAAAGAGCATCTAGTAGTTTCCCTTTGTCAAGCCACAAGCAACGGGTAGTTATTCTTATTTTTCCTTTTATACTATTTTCTGCAACACCATCAACGCTATGTGGTCGCAAGATTTCCATGCTGTAACAAAGATATAACATTGTCAAACATATAGATATATAGCTGGAGGTCAAAAGGGTCAGAGTAATTCTCTGAAGGGCCTCTAGTGCAAAAGGTTCACGGAGGTAACAGGGATCTAACTATATTCTTGTCATACCTGACTACTACAATGCCATCAGATGCAATCCGTAGTCTCTCGTCAATGCAAAGTTCACTTGATGTGCCAAATGCTTTATCACCATCACTATACATTAACTGCAGCAAGGTTAAGATTATTCAGTACTCAGCTCGATTTGTTTGACAGAGAAAGGCAAAAGGATAAGACCAATAGCCAACCTGCAAATTTTCTTTCCCAAGAGAACTAAATCCATTGGACAAAACTCGTCTGTTTCTCAAATGAGAAACCCCAAGCATCTCTCCATTTTTTATAACCTGAATAAAAATTGATCAGTGTCAAAAAGTTCAGCACGTAAAGCCTCAAATACCGGACAGGGATAAATGTTGCAGCTGAAGAGATGAAGTTACAATCTTTCAAGGAGCATTAAGCCAAGTTGTAGAGGAAGTGCAAGACCGTGTATATACAGGCTTAATGCCTTGTCACAAGATCAATCTGAACATAGTCTGAGAAAAATCTTTTCCCATATGTTCTTTCCATCCAGCAATTTCATTTTCTCCTTTCACTCTCACATTATATCCCAATCAAAACTTATCTATTCACGAATCTGAACCTATGCAAACAAAAGCATATAGCAAGTTGCATAATTCTGAAAACATGTTCACCATCAGAATTCATTACACATAATCTGACATTTTCCTTTTCGTAAATCTGTCTAGCATGCATCACAATGCATCTGGAGACACTTACAGTGGTGTGTCGAATCCCAGTAGACCTCCCGAGCAACTCGTGCTCCTTCAGGAACAAGAGTTCTCCATGTACAGGTAGAAAATGTTGTGGTTTTACTATCTTAAGAACCTCTTCCTTCAGAATTAACACAAGAAATGAAAATCACAATCAATTAGAAAGGATCCCTTTTCCTAGAAAGTCACAAATGGTGGCCACTTACAAGTTCCCCGCGATAGGCGTGACCAGATGTGTGCAGCATTTCATTCCTACCCATTACAATAGTCGGCCCAATATCTGCTAGCCGGTTCATCATCTTCATCACTCGTGATTCATTGCCCGGAATCACCTTGGGGTAAAAACAAAAGGCACAAATATCAGTGATCCTAAGTCCTAACAAAACACATGTTGTTCAACACAATGCATATTTATGTACATTCTTTAGGCAAAATGTGTGTGCTACCTTTGCTGAATAGAGAATTATGTCTTCCTTGGTAAGTTTGAAAGAGTGACTGCTACCATATGATGCAAGATTCAGGGCAGCACGTGGTTCTGCCTGAGCAGAATCATAGTCAAAGGAAGATAACATACGCATAAATAAGCTAGAATAGTTGGTCAAAAGTCAAATTCACAGAATTTGCCAATATTAACTCACTTGAGATCCGGTCGTGACAATCAGTAAATTATTTGGAGCATATGCATCAATGTCTTCGACTTTCACCTGTGTAATCATTTGAAAAAGTTAGAACATAAACTGAAGCTAGAAACAAAACCTGCCACAATCATCAATCAAACTCAAGTAACTTAATGCATGAAATAAAAACGAGAAGGAAATAACGATTTTGCTTCAGGTAATATCAACAGCATGTGAAAAAGCAAAAGGTAAGAGCTGTATTTTGTATAAAGTTTGTCTGCAGTTAATATGTATCATCCCTTAAAATTTAAATGCTAAACTATGAATTTCGGGGAAAAAAATATATTCTTCAATAGTTTGCCTCCATTTCCCAGGATTAGCTGATCAGATTCAACATACAAGAGACAATACAAGGAAAAGGTCTTGTACCAAAGTAGATGGGTCGATTGGAGCTTTTCCATCCTTCCAAGCTGCATCTAGATATGTCCTCAATGACATGCCAACAAAAACCTACACAATATTCGGATGAAATATCATATTTTAACTTCTGAAATAAAATTCAGAAACTAAAGGGAAAACGGCCACATAAATTGAATGGATGTAACATCCTAAAGAGAAAATAGACCACAGAAGTTGCAAAATTACACTTCAGCTTCCAAATTGCAACTTGTATAACTAGAATTGGTAGGAAAATGGGGAACATAAGGTTATAGTCAAAACTCAAGAACAAGGGGGTAGAACATACCAACTTTCGACCAGTTAAATCAGCAGCAGCTTTTACACTTCCCAAACGATGTATATTGGATGCAAACTGTGTCGTGATGACTCGTCCCTTGGCTGCTGAGATATTCCTTATTAGAGCATCTGCAACAACCGTTTCACTAATTGTCCTTCCCGGTGACAATACATTTGTTGAGTCACTCATCATCTGCAAAAAGAGAATTTTTTTTCCCCATTTCAGGTCTCCACTAGATCAAAGAAATAAGGAAAAATCCAAAAAAAAAATACATAAACTTCTCAATTTTCACAAAACAAAACCTAAACTTTGTTTTCTATCAAATAAAACATCGAATTCATTTTTCAGTAAAAAAATAAACCCGAACTTTATAATCGTTGTCATTTTTAAACCTAAATGCTGACATGGCACACTAATATCCTATGTGACAAGTCAACACTTTGACCATAATTGACATGTCACTATCCACATGTCACGACATCGATACGTCACGTCAACATTGGGTTTAAAAATGACAACTGTTATAATGTTTAGATTTATTTATAACTCAAAAATCAAGTTGAGGTTTTATTTGGCAAAAAAAAAAGTTCAAGTTTTATTTTGTAAAAATTGATAAGTTCATATATTTTTTTGGGATTTTCCGAAGAAATAACTATAGATGAAAGACTGATATAAGCAAAGAAAAACAGCCATTTTCAACTTAAGTTTACATCAAAGACACCAATATAGTTACCTACATCCATTCAACACTTATCGTAATGAATACACACCAGACTATCACGAAGAAAATCCAAGTAATGAAATCTCTTGATTTATTGAATGCTACAAAATCTTCAAAAATTCAGAATGCTTTCTATCTATGAAGGAAAGAACATCACGAGTCTGTACAGTCAGAATCCTTACCAAGGTTACTCCTTCCTTTGACAGTTCCTCAAGAGCTTGACGGTCAAACACTTTCCCATCCAGTGGTGATTCATCGATCTGTCACGAATCAAATTATCTCATGCAGATTGAGAAACAATCAAAAGAAAATGGAAACTGAATTTACAGGAATGTGGTACCTTCCAGTCTCCCGTATGAAGAATGGTACCATCAGCGCAACGAAGGACTAAGCCACAACAATCAGGAATAGAATGAGTCACCGTAATGGGTTCTATTTCAAATGGCCCAGCCATAAATTTTCTTCGAGTTTTGAAAGTCTTAAGTCTAGATGGAACGAAGATCCCATTCTCCTTCAATCGCTTCTTTATAAGCTATCAAATAAATAGAAAGCATTGATCAGAGGAAATCATAAAAATGTACACAGAAAACGAAAATAGAAGTTTAGGCACGCATGATAAGATATTATCGGCTGCCTGAACATTAAACTTCTGTCAGACAAGATATCTAAGATACGCAAATACATATTGAACTAAAACCAGAAACCCATGCTTGGTAGAAACTACCAAAATATGAAATAGGACTCATTCAGATGTAAAAGCACCTCCATGGTGAAGGATGATGCGAATATCGGTGTATGGGAGTCCAATGCCGGGATAACCTGTTCACATAAACGACTACTGATCAAAGATGGGACAAGAAAAATCAATGGAAAGGGGACATTAAAAGTACATATATTGTCTGTGCATATGTCCTTTTCGCACCATCACACTAGAATTTAACTCGAGAAAACAAGATAGCAATTTTACAAGTTACAACAGATGTTATGTTATTCCCATGAGCCGTAAATGGGTGCTGCTTCCCTTCCAAACCAATCATTGGTTCAGAAATAAAACCTGAGTTCCTTCTATAAAGCTCCAGAAGGTCCAAATTCTTTAATAATAAAATTATGACTTTTCAAGGAGTAGAAGAAGAAGTAGAAGAAGACTTTACCCAAGGCAACGCACCAATGTGATCTTCATGACCATGCGTTATGACAACAGCTTCAATTTTGTGCCTCCATCTTTTGATAAACGTTGTGTCCGGTATTATTTTCTGGACCCCAGGCTCGTCATAACTAAAACAGCAACAGAATTTTCGTAAAAGGTTAAAAGTTTACACAAAAAGGATGTACTTTAATGACAAAATCAAGAATGAGAAGTTACTAACAAGATATGCCACAATACTTACTCTGGAAACATGACACCAGCGTCAATTAAAATATACCGGTCATAGTTTCCGACAAGCATACAATTCATTCCAATTTCACCGAGGCCACCTATTGGAAGGACACGGAGTGGTGGGCCATCAGCTCCCTCATAGAACTGCTCCATTTTACGTTTTACTGAGTCCTCCATACTTCTCCCAGGCCCTTCCAGTCTACTTGATCTTCTACGGGGAACCTTAGACGAAGTGCCTGCCTCAAAAAGTTGAATCATATACCGCAAGGGACATATTATCAAAGAAGCAAGCAACAAAATATATAAAACAATCACCTCGTGAGGCCCCTACAGTTTCACAACATAGAACTACATCTAAACTCAAAAGAGTTTTACGGACAAAGTCAGAACATTATCTCGATAGTATGAAAGAAATAGCTGACTAAGAGTCACTTCTCAGACTTCATCAACTTTCCTGCCACTGAGAGAATCCAAGGGAACCCCGCAACAAAAACAACTCGTTTGGTGTCAAATCGTAAGGCAATATTCTTGTTGTTGCTCAACCTAGCTCCCCAAAGTTTGAAATTTTTGCATCAACGCAAAAGGCTTCAAACCCATTCTAGTACTCACTCAATCACCGATTCCGAAATAACAGCACCAATGCACAAACTTGTCCACGCATGAAAATAAGCAGAAACGCACAAGACTCAGGGACCCGAAAGAGAAAACAACCTGAAGCAGGAGGAGAACTGGCGGAATACGAGACGGAAGACCTATTTCTAGAGCGTGCCCGGAATGAGAAAGTGTACGGACATAGCGATAAGGCGCTAAAGGCGGCCATTTTCCACGGGGTAACTGATCCGCGGGCATCGAAGTACGGAGAAGAATGACAGGAAGTGTAAGAGAAACCTTGAAAAGAACTCGTCTTCATAACTGAGGAGAACGAAGAAACCCTAAAACCAGAGAGGGTTTAATGGGCGGGGGGGTTTAAGCCTTTAAGGATTGAATTCCGGACTTCTCTGTCACACTCTGCCTGGAGATATGGAGAAAACTATCTTTCTTATCGGATTTTCTCCGGAGGCAATACTTCGCACGTGCGAAAACACAGATGTAGTATCAAACCGGTATTATCAATTGAACCGGTTCATACCCGAACCGAACCGGAATTAAAGTGATAATTACATCAACCGGCCTCTTAGTTGTATTTTGGATTTAAAAAAAAAAGATAAAATAGAAGTCGTATTACAAACACTTCTAGTACTATTCTCCTCTTGAAAAAAAAAATTCAACTTCCAATTTACCCTCTTCATTGACAAATTATAAAAATACTCCGTAGACATAAATTTAAAAATATTTATAAAAAAAATTCCCTTTTTTTTAGGGTTTCTCTTTCTTCAAAAACGGTTTCTCTCTCCTCCTCTCGCCACTATCGACTAAACTCTTTCTCTTTACTGTGTTCTCTCTCTCATCCTCATCTTGTTATTTTATCTTCAAAATCCGTCGAATTCAGACAAAATCACAGGCAAATCAAGGCGAAATCAGTGAGAAAAGTGGAAATAGGTAAGCTTCTGTCGAAATCCCAGTTTTTTTCATTATGGTTTTTGCGGTTTTTTTCTTCCAATTGTTGTTTTTTCTGTAGTTCTGTCGTTTGTAATTAAAGACATCTTCGGATCTGCATTTTGGATGTATTCCGAGCATCATTGTGTGTCACGGATCACACATGTTAATTGTCACAAAGGTCAGCATGGGTATATGGGTCACAATGATCACAATGTGCACAACAATCATACGGGTCACTATAGAAACGGGCCACAATGTGCACAACAGAAACATATTACGGGTTATATGGTCAAGTGGTCACGTGGTCGCACGGTTACAAGGTCACATGGTTCACGGGTCATTAGAAAAACTGGTCACATGGGTCACAGTAATCACATGGTGACAAGGTCACAATGTCACAAAATCACAAAGTCACACGGTTACAAGGTCACATTGTTATTCTTTTATCCCCCTTGGAGATGACCTACAGTGAACTTGTTCGAAAGTTATGTTCGGAGATGAAGGTGGATAAAGATAAAGCATAGATCAAACTGAGCGATTTACCAAATGTAAAAAAAAAACAGAAAGTCCACCTACATATGGAATGACAAACACGTTCATATTTATCTGATGGATAAAATAAATGGAATGTGAGGCATGCTTTATGTGGAGATAACTGAGGTATGTGTGAAAGGTGAATGTGAATAAAATATTGAAGAACAACCTATAATTACTGCTGATGAAAGTGGTGTTGGAGGTAGTAGAAAACAAGATATGATAGATTATAAGGATTGTGTTATGCTGAGCCCTAATTTTAAGAGTAGAGTTCAGAGTAATAATGTGCTAGAAGTTATACATCTTTCTGACAGTGAACATTCTAGTGGTCTTAGGGATGTTATAGTGACTAAATGTGATGGTGATCGTGATGATGGTGGTGATGGTTTGGCCTTGAGCTAGTAGATGACTCTCGGTTTTCGAATTCTGTATTTAGTTTCAGTAATGGATTAAATATAATAATTGGCCATGAGTTTGACAATAAGGAAGCAACACAAGAATATGTTCGCAAAGTTGTAGCTATGGGTCATTTTCGTTATACTACACTGAAGTCCGATAAAAAGTTATGGAAAATAAGATGCAAATTTGCTGAATCAGATTGTAATTGGAAGTTGCGTACGACACTGATCTTAAACTCGGAGTGTTAGAGTGTAAGAAAACATAATCCCATGCATAGCTGTAAACTTGTATCTGAAATAAGCAAAGCTTTGAGGGGTACAAAGAAATTGTTTCGAGATTATTTGAAGGATGAATTCCTTGGTAAACCTCATAGTACACCTTCAACACATGAAATTGTAGACCGGGTAAAAGCTAAGTACGGTACAATCGTAACATATTTGACAGAATTACGAGGTAAGCACAAAGCTGAAAGTAAGATTCGAGGTGATCCTACTGAGCATTTCAGAAAGCTTCCTGGGTGATTGCACATGTTGCAAAAGAGAAATACCGGAACAATTGTCGGTCTTGAGTTGGACAAAGATGACAAAAGTTTCAAATATCTCTTCTTCGCGTTGGGTGCAACGGTAAGAGGATGGAATTACATGCGTAAAGTTGTTGCGATTGATGCAATATTTTTTACGGGACAATATAAGGGTACTTTGGTCATTGCAACGACACAAGATGATGACCACCATCTATATCCGTTAGTCCGTGGTGTTATTGACAGAGAAAAAGATGCATTGTGGAGGTGGTTTATGAAAATGTTAATAAAAGCAATCCCAGATGGACCTGATGTTGTCGTGATCTCTGATCGACATAGGAGTATAATAAAAGTCATCAGAGAAGTGTACAAAGAAGTAGACCACTGATTTTATGCGAGACATATAGCGCATAATATGAAAGTCACGTTTAACAGAGGCATGGGAAGAAAGAGTTCGAGAGGTGAAACCATTGCATAACGGTTCTTCAAATGCGTGGAAGCTTATATTGTCCAGAACTATCGGACTTGTCGTAAACCCCTCTGTGTCTAGGGGACTTGTCCTCAAAATTCTAGGCTCTGTCGGACTCACCGTAACTGGACCAGAAAGGAGCCCAACATCCTTTAAAAGCCCTCTGACTGCATCGATGATTCTGCTCTTGGCCGTTTTTATTTCCAGTTTCAAATGTGTCTTAAGTGCTTTTATAAGCGACAGTCTCGTTACTCCTTGACGTACGTGTTGCTGTTGTTGCCTCTGTTACCGTTGTTGTTGTTGTTGTTATTGTTATTGTTGCTCTAGTTCTTGTACTTCTTCTTCTTCATCTTCTTTCTCATCTACTTCCTCTGAATCTTCGTCTATCAATACTTTGCGTTTACCTTTCTTTTTCGCCTCCAAAGACTTTCTGCAATGCAGTTCCACATCGCGACTCTTCTTCCAACATTTGCTTTCCGGGTTCGTTTTCAGATGTCGCATCCAAAACTGAACCCTTCCATCTGTACTCCCCTCATATCTTTCTAAATAAAAAAGAAATGCTTCTTCACCGCTTTCTATCTGCATTATACTTTTAATACCCTGAAAACAAATGTGACTCATTGTTACTATATGTAGTCATTCTGAATCATGTGACCATGTGACCATTATTTATTGTGACCATATGACCCGTGATATTGTATATTGTGGTTTAGGGAAACCTCTAATTTCTTGCCAATCTTTTTTAATACTAAAGGTCCATCGGACGTTTGCTTTCACGGACTTCTTGCACATCCTGGGACACCCCGGATCTGCTTCTTAGAAGTCGGAGATTAAATTTTCTCCGAGTGCAGGCATGCTAGGTCCGGACAGGGCGGCGGCAAACTGAAGCCGCGGTATATCGGACTTTACCCAGTGATTGGGAAGGTAGGTGCAGTAGCATATCGTCTAGGGTTGCCATTGGAGTTGGGCAACATCCATGACGTATTACGTTTCGATGCTACAGAGGTACGTAGCGGATCCTTCCCACGTGCTACGGTCGCAGGAGTTAGAGTTCACGGATGCTACCCGTTTTCGGGATGAACCGCTACAGATAATGGATCGGAAGGTCAAAAAACTACGGACCAAGGAGGTACCATTCGTGAAGGTCTTCTGGCGGAGTCAAGGGGTCTCAGACATGACCAAGAAACCCGAGGTGGAGATGCATAGTAGTTATCCCCATTTGTTTACTTGAGCATTGTCCAAACTCTTGTGTATGACGTTAATTGTATCGAGATCTTATTTGTTGGATGGCGTTGGTGTATTGGATATGTTGGGTATTGTGGTATGAAATGTGATGGAGTTGTGAGGATATCACGTAATTCTGAATTCGAGGGCGAATTCTTTTTAAGGGGAGAGAATTTGTAATACCTGATTCCCGAATGAATCATTTAAATTACTTTCGGTAATAAAGAAAAGGTAAAACAAGTAAAAAAATATAGAGAATCAATGTGAGTTGCCTCTATGTACTCTTGTTTACATAGTGTGACCGTAGTATCTCAATGGTTTGTCGCTTGAATCTTAAAGAGGATGTTTCAATGAAGTTTTAGAAATAAACGACACTCGATTTGGTTGAGAAACGAGAGAGATGTGAACGAACGAAAATCTGAAATTGCATAAATCACAAATTTGTACGAGGTACAGGAGTTGCGAACCTTTTTCATGATGAAAACGTGAGTTTTCAATAATCTATTGCTTGGAAATGAAAGAGGGCATTCCCATGAAGGTTTAGAAACAAACAATGAGTGATTTGGTTAAGAAATGAGTGAGAACGGAGCAATCGAAAACGGACTATGCAACTCAGTCCGAACAAACCAGGAAATCAGTCCTAAGGGACTATGTAAGTCAGTCCGAAGGGACCAGAAATGAGTCCGAAGGGACCAAAAAGCAGTCCGAAGGGAGTAGAGAAGCAGTCCAAACGGACTACGCAAGACAGACTGTCGGCAACTACTTTGGTGCGCGACTTTCTTGCACATGAGCAACCCACAACCCACTCAAATGCCACCCTCAAACGCCACCAACCCGACAAAGTGTGATCCTAGCTAGCCCCCTAGGGTTAATAATTAATTTTCTCTCTTTCCCTAGGCTCCATAATTGCCTCTCCAACCCTCTCACTCAGCCATTTTCGGACTGGGAGGTTGCAGAGGAGAAAGAGGAGAAAAGAGAGAGAAAGGGAGAGAAAGAAGAAGAGATGAGAGAAGGGAGCTCGGGAAAGTGGTGGAAAACATCCCTAGAGTGTCCCGGAAGAGGTTGTTGAGATATACCGGATTTTGAAGAATATTACGAGATATATCGTATAATGGAGATCTTATCAAATCCGGAAAATATATATTTAGGAATATTTATTATTATGTGTACTTTACTTATTTAAATGTAAGACTCTCATTTATTTATATGTTATTTTGACTATCAATAAAAATTATTCCGCAAATTTTTACATGGTATCAGAGCATAAGGTCTAGAGAACCTTGTGTTTTTTTTATTCTGCTGCGAATTCGAAGCATATTCCCTCTCGGTTGCGAGT